GTGTGACAACATGAGTGTGACAACATGACTGTGACAACATGAGTGTGACAACATGAGTGTGACAACATGAGTGTGACACATATGAAAGTGACACAACGTAACACATGATGACGACTCATGAGTCATGACGAATCTTTTTTCGCTTCACGCAACGATTTGCGTCCCAGACAATTAATTGCTTGACATGATAAAAATATGACATGACTTTTTATATGAAGTATTAGAGCCATCTGAAGACATATAAGCAAGGTTTGTGTTAAATCTTGTATCGACAAATCGAAAATATTCTTACGCGTTAAGAGTCGAGAACCTTCGACCTTCAATCGAGTATGGAATGATAATGCCTTGCAATTAAATTTTCTTGTACTACATCAACATCAATATTGAGTTTACGACTGTTTTTCTTGCCCTTGACGACAAGCCTGCCTGCAGCAAGCTCCCGCCGTCATAATTCAGATATCGCCACTGGCATATTGCTCATGCGTCGTGGCAGCAGTGCTGGCAGTCGTGTCAGCAGTTTCAATACCAAACATTTGCTGTTGTGCGAAAGGAAATAATTGACTTATCATGAGAATGTTCTGATCCCTTTCCGTTTGGTCATTAGGAGGAGGGGTTTACTCGCACTTTTTTTCGCGCTCAAACCAACGTTTTTATCACGAATCAGGAGACACTCTGTGCTGAATGTTTCACTTTAAAATCATAATCGCAATGTATTAAAATCCTATTTATATATTTGTCAGTTTTTTACTTGGGTGTGGATCTGTTTGTATGTGTTGTAGGCCTGGCAACACAAATATATGGGGGCTGTTGGGGCCCGTATCCAGGATACTTATCGTGTCGGTATATTGTATTGTAAGGGAAATTCACCCTTTATGATTTTAGTTACTTAAATTTATTTTTGTGTCGTAAGTTTTACGGCTGCTTGTGGGGGTTGGCAACCATGCTATTTGATGACGTGGCGTTACCGGCCTGAAGCCCGGGTTAGTTCTTCTCATTCGATTGCTGTTACTGGTCGGAGCGTACCTACAGTCACTATTTTCGAGTGCACCTGTAGCGTCCCTATTAGGTGGGTGTTAGTGCATTTGCTTTAGTTCAATGTTCGAGTTTTGAATATAGTGTTTAAATTCTCTGAATGTATATATGTGTTGTGTTAAATGAAATGAAATTGTTCCTTAGTACAGTATTGTTAGTTATAGTCTTGCTGACCATCATTGTTCGGCAGGACCGACTCTTTGCCTGGCCAGCAAATGCGGCTCCTAGTTAGGCCGACCTCAACGGCACTTCTCAACTCCAGTACCTGCACCCGTCCAGTCTCAACCCAGTTCACTAACCTTTGCTGTGAACCACCTTTGCTGTGAACCACCTTTGCTGTGAACCACCTTTGCTGTGAACTATTTTTGCTGTGGACTATTTTTGCTGTGTACTATTTTTGCTGTGTACTATTATTGTCGTGTTCTATCACTGTTGTGTGTTATTTATTATGATTTTTCAACCTTTCATTTATTAGTGTTCGATTTACGTGCTTTGTTCAATAAATAATTATTTAGTATGCTTTCATTTCTCCTTTCTTAAGATCGGTGGCAGTTCAGGGTTAATTGTCGAATCTACTTGGAGTCGTCCTTTACGTGAACCTTACATGTATATAGGGGCTGTTGGGGCGCGTATCCAGGATACTTATCGTGTCGGGATATTGTATATAGGGGCTGTTGGGGCGCGTATCCAGGATACTTATCGTGTCGGGATATTGTATATAGGGGCTGTTGGAACACGTATCCAGGATACTTATCGTGTCGGGATATTGTATATAGGGGCTGTTGGGGCGCGTATCCAGGATACTTATCGTGTCGGGATATTGCCTAGAGCTGGAAATTTATTCTTGGAAGGAGAATAGGAGAGGATTGGAGGGAGGATTAGATAGATAATTGAAATTCTCATTTGATAAATATTGGTTTGACTTACCAGCTGCAAAACATTTTTTTTATATTCTGTGACAAATATGTTTTGAAGATGTTTTCCAATTTAATACAAAAGCTTCATAATTATTAATGAGATTAAGGCTTATTACGAGAATGAAGGGTCTAGAAATAAACCAAAGTCGAGTAAATTACCCAAACAATGCCGTGCAAATCTGCTAGTAGGTTATTAATTTAATACATGAGGGATATAGATGGGTGAAGTTTTAGCTTATTCTTCGTTCATGTTTTGCGATATCAATCTTAACTCCACCAAGACGGAGACTGTTATATTCGCTGTTGAAATTAACAAAGGTGCCGCTGAAACAGCAGGCCAAAATATCAGGCTGCATGGAAAGTGTAAAAAATTCGTGCCACAGCTTTTGCAACGGTTCAATACGGGAAAGAGTTTATTTCGTGTTTTTTGAGAGATGGGTAACAACAAAAGCAGCAACAACAGCAAGAACATCAATCAACCCATCAGCAAGTGTCCTGACAACCTGTGACACAAGAACCCCATCAATAGTGGACAATTGATTGAATGGACACACCTAAGTTTATGTTGAACCGTAACATAGATAATATTTAAATAAAAAATATCATCCTACAAGCCCACGACATTTCTCATTGTAGGCTTTTTAAATTTTTGTCGATTTATTGTCAACCCGAAGTGATAAGGCTATACCTGCTAGAAATATACAAGGTGACCCCATAAAATAACCGGACTGACTGTGTGGTAGGCGGAGTTCTGGTATTACTGAATTCTCTCAGTATGTGCATATGCTGCTGACATTTCTCAGTTAGTGTGCCACGCATTGCAGCCCTATAACCCGTGGTCCATAATTACAATTTTTTGACATTTTTTGGGCGCTCGTCGTTTTTTGATGGTGAGCAATGTGCTGCCATCAAATCTTGCTTTATTCTGTGAAAACTAGCAAGAAAATGCAACAAACAGCCTACAAGGCTGATGCTTCGGGGAGCAAAGTCTTTGCTCCCACCAAAAAACGCAAGTTTTTGGTGGTTATCCCGCTTCAAAATAGCGGAAATGTCAATTGATGCTAATCCTCCTCCTTCCAATTACCGGACAAAAGAAATCTTGAAAAAATTAGGGACCTTATCACTGAAGATCGACTTAGAAGTATTGACGAACTTGCGGAACTGTCTCATGTGCCTTTGAGTTCACTCCAGAAGATTTTGGATGAATAATTAAATAAAAAATCGATCCTGTGCTTTTTGTGTACCCGTCTGTATTGGAGACGCTTGAAATCTTCTACTAGGAGAGGTAATTTAGTTACCAATATGTCGACTTGATTCACCACAGCCATCGAGGTCCTTTTTGCTGGCAAGACGAACGCTGAGGTTTCTGGGCTCCCGACGTCGGATTGTCAAGGAGGCGAGGGCCTATACATTCAAAAAATGTTAAGAGATCGTAAGTTCATCAGCCAATCATTGACGGCCTTTCAAGCAAAATACATCAATCTTTGACAAGAAAATTGAGCGTTAGTATTTACGTTCACTTAGCGAGTTTCGAACGTTTAATGGCCCCTGGGATTGGTCAGGCGACCCGTAGAAGGCATCGAGCCAACGCCTTGCATCACGGAGTAAAATGTGATCAATTATGAATTAAACAGCAAGAAACATGAACATTAATAGTGATTACGTTAAAATAAATTTAAATTTATTTGCAACAAATTCAGGGAATTCAGCACTCCCATATCACCACACCCTACAACCACCACACCCTACACAACAATACCACATAAAACCACACTCTACATCACAAAATACCATATGCAACACTCGATTCATCACTCTACACCATATTATTCCACATACAACACCCCATTTACACCACATGCAACACCTCACCCAACAACACACACCCAACACCACACACCCAACACCACACACCCAACACCACACACCCAACACCACACACCCAACACCACACACCCAGCACCACACACCCACCCCGCCGCGCTCACCGCTTGTGCTGACATCAGCAATGCGCAGGCCGCGGCAGAGACGCCAGCGCTGCACTGCTCTGGCTGCGTGCCACATATGTTTCACTAACAATAAAGTGGTCTTATGACATTATAATCGCCAAAGTGCATACGTATATCATTAGGAAATTTGTATAGGAACACTATTCAGTGTAGTAGTTAGTTTTAGCGAGCAGACATAGGTGATAACCTACGTTTTTTTTACTGACGAAGTAGCACCATTGCTGACAGCAGCGAATTTCAAGGCCAAATAAACAGGCATGGTTCACAGTGCAACGCTGTAACTCGTTCAGAAGACGTTCAGTAATCATCTCGTTACCGTGAGATTAAATTTCAAACTACAGCATTCGTAGTTTCGGAGAAATTTCATCTTATATTTTTTGGCAAGTAAACTTGCCAAGCGGCGTTAATTAATGGCTAAACAGAAGGCATTACACCCAACGCCTAAAGGAGGTTCGGCACTGCACGCCTCAGATGGCTTGACGCCGTGAGCACGTAAACAGTGAGCTCTAAGCATTATTGGGAGCCCTGCTAACTGCTAAGCAAGAAACGTTCAGTGCGGCGGTTGCGGTCGGTGAGGGAGGTTATCGTGTGCTACTGTCGGTGGCTGCCCGCTTCCTGAATCACTCGCGTGTTCATCGCGAGTTTTCCCGTGTTAATTTACGCTGAATAATAGTGCTGATGAAGATAGCTTGTAGCGTTTTACTGTTGTAAAACGCTACAAGCGTACGTTTTACTGTTGTAAAACGCTACAAGCGTACGTTTTACTGTTGTAAAACGCTGTTGTTATTGTTTTAGCGTTGTATGGTCGCTGTTGTTATGGTTGCTGTTGTTGCTGATTTTGTTGCTGTTGTTTTTGCTGATTTTGTTGCTGCTGCTGTTTTTGCTGATTTTGTTGCTGCTGTTGTTGCCGCTGTTATAATGCACCTGCTGTTATGTCTGTTGTTACTGTATCGGCTGTAACTGTTGTTTCTGCTGCTGTTACTGTACCTTCTGTTAACTGCTGTTGTTGTTGTTACTTTACTTGCTGTTTTACTGTACCTCCTCATGTTGCTGCTATAGTTACTGCCGTTGCTGCTGCTGCTGGTGCTGCTGCTGTTGCTGCTGTTACTGATTTTCTTGCTGCTGGTGTTGCTGTTGCTGCTGTTACTGATTTTCTTGCTGCTGGTGTTGCTGTTGCTGCTGAAGATCCTGCTGTTGGTGCTGTTGTTAAAGCTGCTGATTTTGTTGTTGATGTTGTTACTGTACACACCGTTGCTGCTGTTGCTGCTGCTGCTGCTGTTGTTACTGATTTTGTTGCTGCTGCATGGTGTTGCCGTTGCTGCTGTTGTTACTGCTGTTGTTTCGGGGTTCGAAGGAACTCTGAAGGTTGCTATTGGGCTTGACGCTCAGTCTCCTCACTCGCAGCCACACCCGCTGAGCGGTCAAGCAATCCAACATATATTGTGTCATTTCAGGCGTGAGAAATAAACATTTGTGAGCCGACGAGAAGCACCGCAACTTTCCATAGCAGGATATGCTCGTTGAATTAATTTTGTTGTGCGGATAATGACGAACGCTTGAGAACTGCGGCTATTGAGAACCTGGAACATCCGCGGCCTCCGCCTCTTGAACTGCAGCGTCGACCACGTGAGTAACACGCGCGCTGTGATGTGCTAGACGTGGTGCAGGTGGTGTGAGTAACACACGCGCTGTGATGTGCTAGACGTGGTGCAGGTGGTGTGAGTAACACACGCGCTGTGATGTGCTAGACGTGGTGCTGTGGTCCTGGTGACGCTTACCAGTAAACTATTACTAGTTCACTTATTCCCTAACAAAATTAGAGGCATGGGAAAGCCTGCATTAGGGCCGCCTAGGACCAGGGGAGCACGTAAATCAGCTTCTCCATGCCTGCCTCAGCTCAGAATTCGAAAGACAGCCTCAGGGCATCATACTATCTCGGTATGACTCGGCACGGCGAACCATTGTCATACTCTCAGGCGACTATAAAGTCGGAAAGGAGATTCTGATCAGAAACTGATTTCGATCGGGTGGTCAAGCAGTTGAAGAATAACATTGCGCGCATGTAGTGACTATTCGACCGAGGCCTAGTCGGTCCCAGAATTTCGTTAGGGTTGTGGTGCAGTTTGTTTGCCTATTTATCCTTCAATTAGTTCCGGCCATGCATTGTGGATACAACACGCAAGCATCAACTGTTAGGTAGCTCATCCATGGTTGAACTATATAAGGACCCACGAGAAGTTCCGTCTTACAGTTCAGCTTTCTTGTTACGTCACGTAGATCGAGAAACGTAAACAAACCCGTCATTCCCTTGATGGATTGGTTGACTGGTTTGATATCATTTCGGTGATTGGTTAATGGCCGTACGCGTGACGTAATTGAGATCAGTGACGTCACAGGTGAACAACGAACTACATCCGCAAAAATGGGCTTCTGATGGGTCAACCTTATACTAGTTCAACCATGAGCTCATCATCGTAGCGCCATGTCCAAGTAACACCTACTTTATATTGTTGGTGTTGCTATTGCCGTTATTGATGCTATTGTTCATGTTGTTGTTGTTGTATTGTGTTGTTGTTGATGTTTTTGCTGTTGTTGCTGTTGCAGCTGTTGTTGCTGTTGTTGTTGCTGTTGTTGCTCTTGTTGCTGCTGATGTTGCTGCTGATGTTGCTGCTGTTGCTGCAGTTTTTGCTGCTATTCTTGCTTTTGTTGCTGCTTTTCTTGCTTTTGTTGCTGCTTACATTTTTACTGTTGTGGTTGCTGTTGTTGTTGCTGCTTCTTATCTTGTTGCTGTTATTGCTACTGCTGTTGCTGCTGATGTTGTTGCTGCCGTTATTGCTGTTGATATTGCTGCTGTTGTTGTTACTGCCGTGGCTGCTGCTGTTGTTGTTGCTGACATTGTTGCGGCTGTTGTTGCTGTTATTGTTGCTACTCTTGTTGTCAATGTTACCACTGTTGTTGCTGTTGATATTGCTACTGATGTTGCTGCTGTTGCTGCTGTGGTTGCTGCTTTTGTTGCTGCTGATGTTATTGGTTTCGTTGCTGCTGTAGTTGCTGTCGTTGTTGCTCTTGCTGCTGACTTTTCTGCTGAGATTGCTGTTGTTGTTTTTCTTGTTGATGCTGATGTTGCTGCTGATGGTGCTGCTGTTATTGCTGCTGTTGTTGCTTTTGTTGCTGCTGATGTTGCTGCTTTTGCTGATGTTTTTGCTCCTGATGTTGCTGATGATGCTCCTGATATCGTTGCTGTTAATGTTACTGTTGTTGTTGCTGCTGATGCTGCAGCTGTTGTTGTTGCTGTTGATGCAGTTGTTCCTGCTGATGTTGGTGCTGTTGCTGCTGTTTATGTTGCTGCTGATGTTGCTGCTATGTTGCTGATGTTGCTGATGTTCTTGTTTTTGTTGCTACTGTTAATGCTGTTGTTGTTGCTGTTGTTGTTGCTCTCGTTGCTGATGATGTTGCTGCTGTTGCTGCTGCTGCTGTTGCTCTTGTTGCTAATGATTTTGCTGCTGATGTTTCTGCTATTGCTGCGTTTTTTGCTCTTATTATTGCTCGTGTTGCTGCTGATGTTGCTGCTGGTGTTGTTGCTGATGTTGCTAAAAATGTTGATGCTGATGTTGCTGTCGTTGCTGCTGTTGTTGCTGTTGTTGCTGCTGCTGCTGTTGCTGCTGTTGTTGCTGCTGTTGTTGATGCCCTCATAGCCGTTATCTGCTGCCCTCATAGCCGTTATCTGCTGCCCTCATAGCTGATCTCCTGGAATAACTAATGTGACTATTTGATGTTTTATTTCAGCCGTTAATTATGGACATATTACCACACGTATTTATTTTTGAGGAACGTATTCCGCTGCAAAGTAATGAGAGCTCACGTGCTAGAAGACTAGCGTTGAAATTGGTGCTCAGTGGACCGTGTGTCACACGCTGTCCACGAGCAGCGGACATCGAATAATATTTATTGTTAATGATGTTGCCACATGCGCTATTTAATTGTTACTCTTCACCGATGAGCAAAGTTATTGTTGTCGCTAACATTATTTAACTGTTTACTCTTGAATGATCTGAATCCTTCAAGTCTCGTAAATCGAAATATAGCAATTAAAGAAATTAATTACGTTGATGAATAAATATGATCAACACTCGTACAATTCTAGCGATTCACGAAAAAATTTTATTTGAATATAGATTATTATGAAAAAATTAATGACAGGCGACGTCGAACGTAACACGGCTTGGGTCCCGCTCGACTGCAACAAGCCGCGCTACTTCAGTAACGTTATTCTCTCATTAACCTCCATGTGACATATCGTTAGGTTTCGATGAATAGCAGTTGATAAATAAAGTTAGTTTATTGGAGGTAAAATTACGTTCTTCCAATATATATTCCAATATATTCTTCTGTTTGATGATTGTATAATTTGAAACCCTTAAAGGGTCCTTTGTTGGCTAAGTCGGTCTTCTGGTGCGTGTATGTCATACACAATTCAGTTGTAGTTCATTTTAACCCACGTATTTGTTTTTAGCTTTATATGCTGGCTCTCTATTTACCTAGCTGAAGAAAATATTTGGTACGTGGTTTAGGAATTAGAACCTAATTAGGAATTAGGTTCTGAATATTTACAAGCGTTTTTAGATCTTGTGTGATCGTGTTTGGATTTAAGCATTTTACTCGCCTACTCTTGTGCAATATCATTTTTATACGCAAGTGAAGTATTTTACTATTGTTGTGATCTGTGGTTTGTTTCACAGTGGCACACATTGTTGTTGTTGTTGTTGTTATTGCGGTGCCACTAGGAAAGAGTGGAAGAGAACAAGAGGTGGCGCTGAGCGGCCAGAAAGAGGAAGGAGAAATGGAAAAAAATAGTATGAGGTGACAAGGTGCATTGCGCATGATTTGGTCGGTTGTGGGTGATTGGGGTTGTTTGGGGTAGAGGGACAGAAACCGATTTTAATGAAAAGTTCGAGAAAACTCACATATTAAAATCCCTCCAAGCGAACCTACCTTACAGTTTCACATAGAAGTACGTCAGGATTTCGAAGTCAAAAGAGCCAACAATGCATCTTACTCCACCCTGTGACGTCACCCTTTCGTCAGCCAAGCTTGGCGCTGCGACGAGAAAGGATAATGCGATCGAAGAGTTGCTGTACAACCTTCGCGGTGACTTCGAACCGATTCGGAAACTTAATATTGAGTATCTAATCAAGGTCGAAAAACTTCTTGGATCCTGCCTGTGACAGCCAGGAGTTGATTGAGTGAATTAATCCTCACAAGGAACGAATGGATTCTTTTCGTTTACGAGTCAAGGAACTTCTCATTTTCATCGTTAGGATGATGCCAAACACAGACCAGCGTTGCGATCTTTTCTCCACTCTTATTGTTCGTCTGCCTCTAGGACGTCATCAGCACGAATTCGCCGGGCAGAAAAACGACCAAGACCATCGCCGATAGACAACTCTTCGAAAAAACGAAAGCTCTAGGGTGTGAGGAATTGACCTTGAGACGCGAGCAGGCGAGATAGAAGGACTTAATGAGAAGATTTGAGCTTGAACGCGCCGAAATTGAGAACAAGAAGCTAAGACTGAAGTCGATAAGATCGACAACTTCTTCTCAATCGGTCGCTGTTCACCAGTTCATTCGGAAGCTGAAGTTGCCGGATCTACTCATGGCGTGGCGGCACGAATTCCGGAAGTAACTTCTCCCGATGCACAAAGTCACTCGCTTCTTCTGGTTCATAAGGAGGCGGAACGAGAACTCGAGCAATTTGATCATTACCCAGCAACAAAACTTAATTGTTGCCCAGGCCCGATTTGGAAGCCAATGCCGGTTCTGACGTTCAACTTGTTTTTGCGAAAGTTCGATAAAATAATCGAAGCGAAGTGTTTTGATCCTTCGGACAGACATGCTTGACTGGAAGAGTTTACAACGGGCGAAGCTCAGAAGTCAGAAGCTGATTAAAAGGTGCATTAATGATTACCTCGAAGCTACTTACCGGCAGGTCAGAACCCTGCTTCGTGAAGGATTTGGAAATTAATTAAAGATCGCACATGCCTACTTGAAACGTCTGAATAGTTGGCCTAAGTTAAAGGGCGATGACGTCGGAGCATTACAAGATCTTTCCATATTATCTGAAATCTGATTCTCAAACCAACCCGCTGAACAGTCCGAAAGAAATTGTGAATATTATTCAGAAGTTGACTTACAAACTCAAGGAACAGTAATGTCGTCTGACCTATCAGAAACAGAAGAGCCCTCAAAACGCGGAGTTTGCGATATTGTTCTTTTCGTTTGTGATGAGGTGGCTCACCTGAAGCAGCCTCTAGCTGTTCGGACAGATAGTCGATCCCCAATCAGCGACGAAGGAGAAAGACAAGGTTAATAAAACTAAAGTTTTCGCCACGACTCTGAAAGACAAGAAGCTCTCAGGCTCTGCTATTTCTGCGATAACACAAATCATTCTCTGGAACAGTGCATAGGTCTCAAGGCTATATCCTCCAAGGAAAAATTTGATTTCGTCAAGAAACATGGCTTTTTTTGGATGTCTTCGTCGGGGACAAACGTCGAATATTTGCAAGAAAGAATTTGGCGATTTCCCTTCTAGATAGGAGCAAGTTAAGGTCAATTAAAATTTTTTCTACGAAGCCTTCAACAACTAGCTTTCTTTCTAAACACGATATTCCTACTTAAGGAGATATCGAGAATCTGCCTTATTTGCAAAATGTACCATTCGCTTTCGTGAACGTCGACGTTAGCATTCAAGTATAGGCACTCGCCTGGCCTTGTTAAGACGGTGCCAACGGTGGATGGTAAGTGGGGACAACAATTTGGCATCTCTTCACTGTCTTGGTTGGGCGTTCAATGGCCCAGTCAGCACATGTACGCGGGTAATGCAGTGCATGCGATCGAAGTAGAATGTTCGTGACCTAAAAGCCGACATCGAAAGCTCCGTTCCGAACGGTCACTCTGCGCCGGAAGAACAGCCATCACCGTCGGTGAAGGACGAGAAGTGGCTCGAAAAGATTTCTATGGAAGCTCCTGCACTCCAACTTTATTACGTGGAACTTGAATTTATTAAATGAAAGTGAAGACTTAGTTCTACTGGTGGACCATGACCTGCTCCGCAACGACTGGCCTGAGAATTCAGATGAAAGAAAGCGTTCAGAAAGAATCTAGAAATATTGATATTCTTCAGTCACCCGCTTGGGCACGCTAATTGCGGAGTGCCCAATTTCATAGCTAATTCTTTTATGAACTACCAATGAGCTTGTTTGATGTATAAATTTGGATTAGCTCAAATTTGGGGCCGGTGTTAAATTTAAAATCATCAAGCGTAGATTTTTGGGTGCAATCGTTCTTACGGTGCGTGTATGTCGTGCACAACTCAGTTATATCTCATTTTAATCCACGTATTTGTTTTTAGTCCGATGCTGGCTCTCAAATTACCTAGCTGAAGAAAACATTTGGTACGTGTTTTAATTAGAAATTATGTTCTGAATATTTGCAAACGTGTTTAGATCTTGTGTTATCGTGCTCGAATTAAAGCATTTTACTCGTCTACTCATGTGCAATACCATTTTTATACGTAATTATTAAACTATTGTTGTTTGCTTCACACAAACCGATTTTGATTAGAAGTTCAAGAAAAGTTGTGTATTCAAATCTATCGACCCGAACAAACCCTACAATGATATAATTTCTGTAAGAGTATTAGTTACATGATGATAGGCTGTCTTGTGTCGACATATCGAGCTTCGTTTACAGTCGTAAGAGGCGACGTGTTCAGGTGATAGCCAGTATCAGTGCTAAGAATATGACTGACGTGTGAGGTTATGGTGCAGTAGCGCTTATCAAACATAGTCCCTAAAGCCCTATGCATTAGTTCGAAGCGATAACTTTGCTCAGAAACGTGAGTAGTGTTACTTTTGAATCTAACTAGTTTATCAATGGTCCTCAGCTGCATAACGATTGTTAGTTCGATAAATATCTTCCGTTATTGTAACGTTTCTGATTATAATTGATCAAGATGAAGCAATCGTAGTCAACGTGTTAAAATATACTTTTGCTGAGTTGAATTATTCGATCTGACATTTCTATAAGATCAACGCGTTAGATGATTATCATGAGCAAGATCGTTCCTTGCTTCAAGACCAAACTGAACAAGAAAATAAATAATCGGTTCACTCTTTAGCAAAACGTTTTAATAGTGTCAATATCAATCTTAATTGTAATACTGTTATCCTCGTAATTTTGTTTCGACTTGGCGCTGTTTCCACGAAAAATCATATGAAAATCGGCTGTTTCTCGATACTTGGAAAATCAGGTATAGAGAAACCCTTCAGCTCCTGTAAAAAATGGTGACTTCTAAGTTTTGCGCTGGTTAAGGTAGAGTTTGTGTCCAGTTACATGTATTGGTGCAATGCTGCATGTACTATTACAATACAACATGTATTGTTTTTCACTTAAAGCAGCAATTGTGCTCACAATGCTGGTGTGCGCAACAATGGTTCTGCAATCATTCATTTGTGTGAATATCGGACTTGTTAATTCGTGCCTATTATACACAGTGCGCTGTGGATTTCATTCTTTTCATCTTTTTGTTCGAAATGAAAGCATTTGTTTTAATGACAAATTAAATAAGTAACACCCATAAAATTAAACGGGAAACGACGGTACGTGTTGGGTTCTGGGGACGTTACAGTTGATTCCAATTAATTGTTGTTCGTAATGTCTTTATTTTGTATCCTTGTCTTTTGTATCCTCTCTGACTGCAGGTTTCAGTTGTGGGGTCAAGTCATTATATTATGTAAGTAGGATTCCTTACATTAAGTTATTATGTAGGTAGGATACCTTACATCAAGTTTTTATGTAGGTAGGATTCCTTACATTAAGTTATTATTTAGGTAGGATGCCTTACATTTAGTTTTTATGTAGGTAGGATTACTTACATTAAGTTATTATGTAGGTAGGATTCCTTACATTTCTTTTCTCTGTCTCTTTCGTGCGGGCAACAAACGTGCCGTGTAGAAGACTTCTTGTTCGAGTGTCTTCGTTTCCGTTGCTTTTCCCCGGAAATGAAGGAGGTCCGTAAACATTTGACCACTAAACTAACTAACGTGCAGGAAGATGTCGGGCGTGGCCAGCATCGGGCTGGACCTGGGCGCAGGCAAGTGCTGTGTTGCCAGCGTGCGCGCTGGAGCGGTGACGGTGTTGCCAAACGCTCACGGCGACAAGACCACTCCAAGTTTTGTTGCCTTCACCGACTCCCGCAGCCTCGTGGGCAGCGATGCCAGGAACCAGGCGGCGCTCATCCCAGAGAGCACTTTTTATGGCATCAAGACCGTCCTCGGCAGGAGCTGCAAGAAAGTTCAAAAAAATGAATTGGCATACTTGGCTGGAAATGAAATTCCAACTCGCGAAAGATTTATGATGAATTTCCTTCCCGAATTTTCGATAACCGAGAAAGGCTCATCCGCCTTCAAAATCGATTACATGAATAACGAGTTGATGTTACATGCGGAAGAAATAACTGCCTTACTTATCGCCAAGATGAAATCTGTGGCAGAAGATGATATAGTAAGTCCGGTCACAAACGCCGTCATTACCGTCCCCGTAAATTTTAGCAACGCGCAGCGACAAGCCACTCTTGACGCGGCCCGCATCGCCGGCCTTGGAAAAGTCACGCTTATCAACTCGACTACCGCCGCTGCCATCGCTTACTGGGACCAGCACCTCAGGGAAAGAGATTGCGTTGCAATCGTCGATTTCGGTGCCAGTTCACTAAGCTTTGCCATACTTTCCATTGAGAATGGGACTGTTAAAGTTCTGGAAGCTTATGGAGGTTCAACGGTAAGTGGAAACCATATCGACTTCTGCATGATGCAAGCCGTTGTCACCAAGTTTCAAGAAAAACACGGAAAACGTTTCGAAGAGTCCCCTAGAGCCTTGGTGAGGTTGAGAACCGCCACGGAGAAGCTGAAGTTCAATCTGACGTCACATACCTCTTCTTTATTGCAAGTGGACTCCCTATCTCACGGGATCGACTTCAAAACTACGTTTTCCCGGAAAGAAATAGAAGAGTCTTGCCAGAGCCAGTTTGAAATCATCGAAAATGTGTTGCGTCGATGGGCAAAATCCAAAAATTGGGTTGACGTTCGAACAGTTGTGTTGGTGGGCGGCTCAACGCGTATTCCTGCCGTAGAAAAGCTGATTGCCGAAACATTAAGAAAACCTCTGGATAACTCGCTCAATAAAGACGAGGCGGTTGCCTGTGGCGCTGCCCTCCGAGCTGCTGAGTTGTGCTGCTCAACGCCACGCGAGGTGGAGGAGGTGTTGTCCAGGCGCATCTGGTTCGAGGCAAGTGCAGAGTCAGGGAAAATTGTTGAAACTGGAGCAAGTATTCCGGGCGAGTTCAATTTTCAAACTTCAAATGATATCTGGAAACACATATATGATAAAGGGATAAGCCTATATGAAAATATATCAGAGATTGATGACAAAAGAGTTGAAACCTTCGTACTGACGACAATAGGAGCAGGACAGCTCGGCCGTTCACCTTCTTCGGGCGCACTTCTATTTACGATCGATGAAAGTGGAATTGTTAAAATTGAACTAATTTCTAGCGGGAAAACAAGCCATATACCTATTAGGGGGCTATTATCGGACAAAAAACGCGCAAAAACTTGTTTGGCTCAGCATGAAGCGTTCCTGGATGATGAAGCAAAATTTAAAGAAAATGAGAACGCCATCAATGATCTTGAAACTTTCTGCGTCGACCAAAAGGAAAAGCTCAGAGAGAAGTTTGGACATGATTCTGCTGCTATCAAATTGTGTGAAGAAATTTTGACCTGGCTAGAAGATACTCCAGAAGCAACGAAGCAACAATGCGGTGACAAGAAAAAAGATTTGGAGCACAAAATTGATAGTGAAGTTGACAGCAAGGCACTGCCTCATCAACCCACAAAGATCAAATCAGATCACCTTGATGATGATGCTCATCGCCTAGGTGATAAAGTGAATCACCTTGTTGACGCATCACATCGCCGTGGTGATGCTTTACATAACCAAGGTCATGTTTCTGATGCTGCACACCGTCTTGTTCAAGCTGAACAGCACCCTAGCAACGTTGCACATTACCCTGTTGATGCTACACACCACTCTGGTCATTTTGAATATCAACCTAGTAATGCTGCCCATCACTCTGGTAATGCTTCACATCACTTTGGTAATGCTGCAAATCATCCTGGTCGTGCAGCACATCACCCTAGCAAAGTTGCAAATCGCCCTGGTTATTCAATACTTCGCCTTGGTCGTGCAGTTGCTTCCCCTACCGACAAGACACTCCCTCAAACATCCACTCGTTCGGCATCCACCAGCAGTAGAAATAAGGAACATTATCCCTCATCCGAGCAAAGGACGAGTCCACAGTTTTTAAATGATTTGAGTCAAACCTATTTACTTGCAGCAACTCGGACACCTGTGTCAGGACATGTTAGTTCCAATGCCAATGCACATCAGTTACCTTCCAGCCATGTATGTCCATCGACCTATAAAAACGCTGGCCACGACATTTATTCGTCGTCTCGACCTCTGAAGGGAACCACATCAGCTGATTATGAGGTCTCCACTTCAAACAAGAATAGTTTGATGCAAGGTAAGCAAGCGTACAATGGAACATCAAGCAAAGAAGTTCAAGGGTGAAGGCGCCCAGAGAAAATCATGCAACCTTATCTTATTGAACTTTGTTCCGAAGACCTTCCTTAGGCAATAATATATATCGACTATATATCATTAAGGGTCCTAATTATAAAAGTGGGATAATTTAACATAACATTTAATGAAATCTTGAAGTAAACAGACCTCAAAAGACCAGGTCGTAAATGATAAATAATCATTATTATATTATAACTTCAGACGCCATTAGACCGCCGGATACGCTCCCGCCACCGCCACCCGACGTGTCTTGTGACATGGACTTCCCGCCACCGCCACCCGACGTGTCTGGTGACATGGACTTCCCGCCACCGCCGCCCGCCATGTCTGGTGACCTGGAATTCCCGCCACCGCCGCCCGCCATGTCTGGTGACATGGACTTCCCGCCACCGCCGCCCGCCAAGTGTGGTGACATGGACCTCTCGCCACCGCCGCCCGCCATGTCTGGTAACGTGGGCCTCCAGCCAACGCCGCCCGCCATGTCTGTTGACATGGATCTCCCGTCGCCGTCTCTACCGCCGCCGTACCCCCTTACCCCCGAAAATTTGGGTATGGCCAACGGTCCTCGGCCGCCACCCCCGCCACCACCACCCATGCTCAACGGCTCCGCCCCCCCACCACCACCGATGCCCGATAGCGACCTCAGCACCGTGAGCATGTTTACTACCACGTAAATAGTAACAATAATAATTTAACACAATAAAAATAATGATTTTCCAAATGATACCAATCATTTCCCAAATATTCATAATCATTTCACAAATAATAATAATTGTTTACCAAATTGTACTAATTATTTTTCGAAATTTGGTCGTAGCTGGTGTGCTGCACTAACCTTTATTACCGAGACTTTTTGTAAATTTGATGCAAGTCTCTGTTGTTGTCATGTTTTGAAATGATACGCATAAAATTGATGTTATCTAAATGCTTGTAATGCAGCTAATGCCAAGTTGTGGTTGTGCAGGACGCAGTGAGCTTTAAAGTGGCGTCGGCGACGCTCAAGCCTGAGCCTAAGAAGACACATCACGAGGATTCCGACCCAAGGAGTGATCTGCGCAAGGTTTTACGTGACGGTAAAGTACCTATAGTGATCTACTTAGGGCTACACGTGAGGGTAATGCACCCACAGTTATCTATTCACGGCTATACGAAAAGGTATAGCACACAAAGATTTACTCAAGGCTACACGAGACGGTAAAGTACCCAAAGTAATCTACTCAAGGCTACACGAGACGAAGAAACACCCAAAGTGATCTGCTGAAGGCTACACGAGACAGTGAAGCACCCAAAGTGATCTGCTCAAGATTACACGAGACGGTGAAGCACCCAGAGTGATCTGCTCAAAGCTACACGAGACGGTGAAGCACCTAGAGTGATCTGCTCAATGCCACACGAGACGGTGAAGCACCCAGAGTGATCTGCAACTGGCTACTGTAGACACTGAAGCACCCAGAGTGATCTGCTCAAAGCTACAGGAGACGTTGAAGCACCCAGAGCGACCTGATCAAGGCTACAGGAGATGTTGAAGCACCCAGAGTGATCTGCAACTGCTACAGTAGACGCTGAAGCACCCAGAGTGATCTGCTCAAAGCTACAGGAGACGTTGAAGCACCCAGAGTGACCTGCTCAATGCCACACGAGACAGCGAAGCACCCAGAGTGATCTGCTCAAAGCTACAAGGGACGTTGAAGCACACAGTGATCTGCTCAAGGCTACAGGAGACGTTAAAGCACCCAGAATGATCTGCACAAGGCTACACAAGACGGTGACGCGCCCAGAGTAATCTGCTCAAGGCGGCACGAGACAGCAAAGCACCCAGAGTGATCTGCAACTAGTTACAGTAGACGCTGAAGCACCCAGAGTGATCTGCTCAAGGCGGCACGAGACAGCAAAGCACCCAGAGTGATCGGCAACTGGTTACAGGAGACGCTGAAGCACCCAGAGCGATCTGCTCAAGGCTACAGGAGACATTGAAAAACCCAGAATGATCTGCTCAAGGCTACAGGAGACGCTAAAGCACCCAGAATGATCTGCACAAGGCTACACAAGACGGTGAAGCCCCCAGATATATCTGCTCAAGGCTACACGGGACGATGAAGCACCCAGAGTAAAATGCTCAAAGCTAAACGAGCTTTCAGCAATTGCTTATTAAGCAGTTCACTATCTAATTTAACTGTGTTCAAAGATCAAGCTGCATAAGGTCAGTCCATTCTTTGAGCGAGGTGCTGCAGGTTTATTTTAAATTACTTCTGGAAAAATATTTAACATGTAATTAAGCTTTACCTCTCTTTGATCTATATATTTTACTATGGAATTAACCTGTGTGCAGGGATCAAGCTACGTAAGGTTGACCAGGTAGATGGCGGCACTTCAGGAGCCGGAGGGTCGGGGATGCGGGTGGTGCCTGACGAAATCAAAGACGTCGCCTCCATCCTGCTGGAGGTAGATGGCTCCTGGTCTTGTGTTATAGAATAGAATAGAATAAAATAGAAGAGAATAGAATAGAAGTGTCGGCACTGAAGAAATAGGCCGATGGCCTGTTGCCGATTCTTGAATTTTTCGTGACTTGATTCACAAGGGATCCGGCCTTTGGAACCTGATCTTTCCATAACTGACGATTGATTGAGATAGCTGCTGGACTTATTGCCTGGTCCGTATAAGGTGCTAGGCATTTCAAGACTGAACATATGCTCCTGCATAGAATTATGTCTACAAAGTTAGAATGTCATTGGAGACTCTAACACGTAAATTTCCAATAGCCGTAACATGATAAATAGTTTTGGTTTGTAACTCACCCCCGCCGAGCAACATGACGAGCAACATGCCGTAAGAGGGAGTCGCTGGCAACGCTTGAACATGCCATTGTTATTGTCTTATGTGATGTCAAACCTAATTAAACTAAAATTATTACCAATTATAGTTAGTTAATTGTGTGTTGTATGCTTGTCGGATATTCTACATATCGCATTTGGAAATTGCACAGGTTGTGAAGATTTGGGATCGAGATTTCATTCGTGTTTAGTTAAATATAAATAAATATATTCGCTCCTCACCTCGTAATTTACTTAGAACAAATTTTTACTTAGGCCTCGAACATGAAATACAGTGATTGTTCATATGACTATAAACTTCAATTTGTCTTTAAAACACCTACGTTTCAGAGTCTTGCAAGAGCGCTGATAAATTGCAAGGTTCGCGATCCGTTAAGGCTTTGATTAGTTACCCTAGTTTACTGGTCATTCTCTGTTGATTTATTGATGAAAATTTATTAAACATGAAAGATTGTTGCTTTTTCTGATAGGAAGGCGTCAATGTAAATCCTCGAAACACTTGCGTTTTACCAGGAAAGAAAATCTGAATTGTTGTTTGTTTTACAGCGGCGGCTTGCGTTCGAAGTGAGCGACTCTGACGCGTCATCAGACACTGACAGCGACCACGATGACTGGGATGAAACCAGCGCGTAGGAGAGCTGCAGTGGAGCTTTCCCCTCAGAGTGGTGAGTGGCAGTATAGCCTTCCCCTCAGAGGGGTGAGTGGCAGTGGTGCCTTCCTCTCAGAGTGGTGAGTGGCAGTGGAGCCTTCCACTCAGAGTGGTGAGTGGCAGTGGTGCCTTCCCCTCAAAGTGGTGAGTGGCAGTGGAGCCTTCCCCTCAGAGTGGTGAGTGGCAGTGGAGCCTTCCCGTCAGAGTGGTGAGTGGCAGCGGAGCCTTCCCCTCAGAGGGGTGAGTGGCAGTGGTGCCTTCCCTCAGAGGGGTGAGTGGCAGTGGTGCCTTCTCCGCAAAGTGGTGAGTGGCAGTGGAGCCTTCCCCTCAGAGGGGTGAGTGGCAGTGGAGCCTTCTACTCAGAGTGGTGAGTGGCAGTGGTGCCTTCCCCTCAGAGGGGTGAGTGGCAGTGGTTCCTTCCCCTCAGAGGGGTGAGTGGCAGTGGTGCCTTCTCTGCAAAGTGGTGAGTGGCAGTGGAGCCTTCCCCTCAGGGAGGTGAGTGGCAGTGGAGCCTCCCCCTCAGAGTGGTGAGTGGCAGTGGTGCCTTCCCCTCGAAGTGGTGAGTGGCAGTGGAGCCTTCCACTCAGAGTGGTGAGTTGCAGTGGAGCCTTCCCCTCAGAGTGGTGAGTGGCAGTGGAGCCTTCCCCTGGAAGTGGTGAGTGGCAGTGGCGCCTTCCCCTCAAAGTAGTGAGTGGCAGTGGTACTTTCCTCTCAAGAGAGGGCAACGCCTATACCCTGATTCAGGAGAGCGTCTTGCGCCTGAGTAATGCTTCTGACTTTGTTGCTCACTGATCACTATGTTCATTGTTCATCACTAAGTTCTTCACTATGTTCAGTTAGGAGGAACAAGTTAGCAGAACCTCTGACTTTGTTGCTCACTGATCACTATGTTCATCATAATGTTCATCACTGAACAGTTCACTATGTTCACAGTTAGGACGTACGAGTGAGCAGACGAGGGAGGAAATTCAACGAGCCACATCGCGCTCTTCGCTCCTCTCACCATCGAGGCATAGACTTCAGAAAATCCAGCAACGCGAGAGAAGGAACTTCACCATCATCCCAACACAATTGTGGTTCATCATCCCTACACCATTGTGGTTCATCGCCCAAACATCATTGTGGCTTATCATCCCAACACTATTGTGGCTTATCATCCAAACACCATTGTGGTTCATCATCCCTACACCATTGCGGCTCATCATCTCAACACTATTGTTGCTCACCATTACAACAAAATTGTGGTCCATTACCTATTATGAAGAATACGTTACTTGGTTACTGCTGCTGCTACGTAGCGTGATACCATATAGCAGCTTTAGAGCCTCTTCCTGTCCGTGAAAACTGATGATAATGGAATCATCTGTATGCCTGCGGGCGCCCAAGCTCCGTCGGTCAGTAGTGCAATCATAACTACAAATGTGGAATTAGATCAAGCCGTTGAAATTCTTGGAAGTCAGGTAATTAGTGTCGGGAGTAAAACGCGTGGCTCAAGCAACAATACGTGAGTAACCGCAATTGAAACAACTACTATATATACCATTGAAACAGCAATACAAACCAAGGATACTGTAGAAGCAGTTGGTGAAACAGATATACAAAACAAATTTATGGTTGAAACAGCAATTGAAATAGAGATAGTCGCGCGTGACGTTACCGACCATGACAACGTTCTCTGCTGCTGGTCGAAAAAAATCTCAAGTAGCTCGTACCAAATTGATTCATGTCCTGGCAAGTGGCAAGCAAGACTTTGTACCGTACAGTGAATGTCCTGTAGCATGAGTGATTACGAAAGTTATGGAATTTATGCACTTGGAATGACTGCATCAACAGATCATGCAGGTAGAATATTCCTATCGAAGTAGAATATTCCTTTCTAAACCCGATCTTATATATATATCAATATAAATATCAATGAATATTTTTTTTATATTCCAAAATGTAACAATGATGTTGCCTGTTCAATTACAGCCTTTGTAGCATCATCTTCCCTGTTACTTCTCTCAAAAATCAGCTTTCATGATCTCTGGGCATACCTGATGCTACATCAGGGCGAGCTGATACTCGCGACACATTCTACTGAGGTTGAAGTATTGATAGATTAAATTATTCCTTACAGAATAATTCACAAAATAGTAGCCCTTCGATTTGATAGTACAATTTACTGATAGGTCCCATGTACATTATATTATAACACCTCCTTTACCCAATAGCTCCAGCCCTCTTCTTTTTTCTACATCAAAATTAATGTACCTATTATTTTAAGGATATCTTATCTTGATTTGTTCGTGTATTTTCTTTAGATTAACTGTGGATTTTGTTCATGGTTTTGTAGTTGATTTCCATGGTCGTATTTACCTTCTTACTTCATTTCTACCATCTGATCGCTATCGTTATCCTCCAATAACTTTACACGGTGTAGCTTCGTTAGACTAGCGCTGCATATGTATTCGATTCGCTAACAACGAACTTTTTGGTCATAGATTTTTACTTTTAGTATTCATCTATAAATTACTTGCTAAATTAAGATTAAGCTGGAATGGGAAAAAGTTATTTTGTAATTAAGTTTTCGAGACTGGCATTAAGGACCCAATTATTCAGCGAGATAATTAAAGATAAAGGGTTCAGCTTTGTGCGCCTGGATACAGACTGTAATAATAAATGATGTATTGAATATGAAGTTAGTTAAGATTCTGGACGTGAGTCATGATTCACTTGGTAACTTAACCGGCATTTTAGAGATAGAAAATTAACGAGTAACTTCTGGCAAGTAACAAGGGAACGTGAATGTCATGACTCGTATGTAGGATACGCTCTTCTATCTCTGAAGATTGTGTATTGAGTTTCATTATGATAATATAATGTGCGATAAGATTTATACCAGACATACTCATCACAGTCAAAACCCTCCCAACATCAATAGAGTAGTCGTGTTATATACGATGAACGTTCACCGTATTCACATAGTATTGTGCCTATATGTTGAACAATAGTTGCAAAGCCTTGATTATAAAGAAAATGTTACTATGATGATTGATGCCCCATAGTGAAGCCTTCTTTTGAATATAGTTGGCTATGATGATAGATGCCTTTTAGTGAAGGGCTGCATATGAAGGAACTATGGTAAAGTGTATATGTGGTAAAGCCTATTTGTATTTGTCATTTTCTGAGCTGGGAGCTATCGATTATTTCTCGTTCCCCAGTCAGTGTCTCTCTAAACTTAATATCTTCAGAAGGTTACAAATACACTTGTATTAAGCTGGCTCATCGTTTTCAACTGGCTCAATATTTGTGTACACGCTACACAATTTTGAACTAAAGTCTATATGCTTAGATACTCCGTTCCCATAGAGAACTGTGCGCAAATTTTAAATACTTTCATGGAAGCTGTTTGCATTCTGTTATTTTGAAACCATCTGAATTGATGTAAATGTTCTAGTAATCTCGCGCAAATATTTTTGTTGCACGGACGTTATTTATCAACTAAGTATCAAAGTTTAGCTTGCTATGGTCTTCAATAAGTAATTTTTCACACTAGGCGGTTTTGCACGCCACTAGCTTGCATGGTACAGACAGTGGGGCCCTACTTAAAAGTGCATAATAAACAGCCCTGCAAAACTGCCAGGTTATAGACTGATATTTCATATATTGTTCCATAAAACTAAAGGAATATATTGATAAATATATATTCCCATAAAGTTATTAAGATATATTTCATCAAAGAGATTTTTTCTATAAAAATATATATTTCCATTATTTCCACATAAAGATATATTTCCATAAAGATATATTGATACATGAACATAAACGTAGTTACATAAAGATAGACTGATGGTGCATATATCAGCACTACAAAACTGCTGGATTCCGGCGTTAAAAACCGCCTCGTGTGAATGATTACGCGGTAAATACCGCTGCTGTTTTTTTGACGCTGGCAGCATTTGCTGCCCAGTGTGAAAGGGCTAGAGGAGACGTGGAAGCACCTTTAACTAGATAGTACTGGGATGAACATGTTTGCGGACGTACCAATGCTGGTCGGAGAATGGTTTGAAACCTTCATGATTACAGGTCTCGGACAAATTTACGGCCGGCTTCGCGGCCGGTCTCACGGCCAATCTCCTAATTCAGTGACCTGCAGGGATTATCTCCAAACTAATTAACGCAGCTCGATGAAACTTGGTTCACGTATTTATCAGGACCTAACGGTGATGTTTACTTGTTTAGCTCTGGAAAATTTTTCCATTTCACCTTCATTCGTGAATTATACGGCAATTAGGGCCGAAATTTGCAGTGACCAAGAAGTTTCTTCAAAACTACTGAACAGATTTGAATGATACTTTGAATATACAACGCGAACCTCCCAACGGTGATGTTTAGCTCGTGACAATTTTTTCGATTCCGCATTCGTTTACAAATTATCTGCTATACGTATACGGACGGCTCTTTGTCAATCCAAATTTTAAAATCGGCCTCAGAAATGCCCTTCGTTTCTCTGTATATCCGTTGCATTGTTGATGCATTTATATCTCCTTATAATTATTGCATTGACTAACAGGGAATGATCAAATAGAGGCTCGGCCTTGATTCTGGTGCCTTCAAGTTATCTGAAGAAATTCTAATTTGGCTTGACAAAAAACAGGAGGCAGCTAAACAAGATTGCGAGGCGAATTGGGAAGTGAAATTTACGCCAAGGCGATCCCACCAACGCTACAAACTGACCGAAAAGGAAGTCGGCACAGCTAGTAATGCCGCTGCTTACAATAACGGCGCGGCACTTCAACCATCGATGGCTGTCACACGACCTCAGCCTATTGGAAATTTCCGAATTACTGAGGCTGGTAATTTTGAGAGTTCTTTTTCTCCATACCTATTGATTGGTATAAGTTTGAAATTAGAGTTGTTGCAGTTAGAGGCGGAAACGTTTAATACATGGGTGCACCGGCATGAGCGCATTTACAGTCGTCCGCTCAATCTCAAGTTCTGTTCCATAGTTGAAGAGACCACACTTTGGTGTCAGTTTTACTAATGTTTGTAGGTAATGCATGTTCGCGCTTCATTTAGTTAGAAAAGTGCCGACTACTGTACCTATCCTATATCTCCGTAATATCACTAATACCTGAAAGACTAAAAAAACTAGTCAAAGGTAGTTACTAAGTTTGAAATGCTCTAACCTTTTAGGAAAATTTTTAGGAATGTCCATCTCCAACCCTGCAGTGAGTTTACACAACCGCTTTATTCTTGGTTATGAACCTGTAGTCTACGGTGTATAGCCAAAAACTACTATATAGAGCTAATTATACGCTGGTTCCAAAGAATTAGGCTACGCCAGTGATTGGTAACAATGTTCATCCTAACTACATAAGTTATTTGGTGAACGACACATTTTGGCGGACCCAGCCGAATTGGAAAAGATTTTAGGGTTAAATTAAGAGCTTTCATATAAGCCAATAAAAACTGGTTTAAATGATATAAGGAACTATTTACATACATTGTAAAACCATGAATTAGGGTTCTTTGACAAGGAAAATGCATATGATAGTAAGATAACCCATGGGCCCTATTTACAAGAAAAGTTAAGAGTTCTTAAATCTTTCGACTGCCTTTCAAGCAAAATTCACCTATTAGACGAGAAATTAGTGCATAGGTACTTAGGCATACTAGAGTGAGTTGTGAAGCTACGGCACCAGGGGTTGCAATTATTAAGGGCAGTTCCAAGGTTAGTTTCAGCTGAGCTGGTACTACATTTGAGCGCTCAGGTTTGTCTCGGAATGTTGCCCCATTTTTTTGAAAGTCGTCTATTGCAATTCCCCCATTACGTATACTGAAGTATTCATCTTGCTATCTCAATTTTTGTATTTTTTTTGTTTACCATGTAATTTGGGAATGTCTCGCGTCAGTAATGAATGGATTAAATGCTTTCGTGAAATATTTGATGCGGAAAAACTTTACCCAAAATCAAAAATTGTGTTTTTGAAATTGTTTGATGTCAATAAGGTAACTATCTTCGATCAGGATATGACGCAAAATAGCGATTTTAAACCTTGAAATAAAGAGAAAATAGTTAAATTAATTAATATTTGCAAGTGCATCGTGCAAACACAAACATTAAATTTTGATTTGATTTTTGGATGGTAATGGTCCATATTTAATGAATTCTTTTAGAGATTCATTCAGTAATTTGAAGCCTGCATGGTGGTATGCAGGATTACGTTGATAAATTGAAACAAATGTTCTTAATTCTTTTGGTCGCTGACGAAATTTCTACAGGGCTCAAAACAGATTTAACAAATTTACATTAAAATAACCTTGCGCTGTTACATGGCATCTAGACTAACAAATGTTCTGTGTAGGATTCTTAGATTTTATAGGTATAGATAAGAATAGGTATCCTAGATTTAAAATTGCTAGATTTTAATAAAGCGTGCATAAAATTGTGAACAATTAATTAACATGGAAATTACTGATGTAATATCTATAATATTTAGCGGTTTCAGCGTTGATTACGCCGTTGGCCTGTCACAGATTATTAACATAGCAGAACATCCACAGCTCATTGCGGTATCGAACCTGCAATTCATTGCTCCAATTTTGCTTTGCTTAACCGTCCGGCCTCCTCGCCGATTCTGACCAGAACCTGCAGGCGCACAGAGCTGGGATCGAACCCGCGCCTCTCTGCGCCAATCTTGCTACTCAGAACTGCAACCACTGGGCCACCCTGGCCTACTTAAGAGCAAATCCATTTTCCTTAAATCTGAAATTTCCAACGAAGTTTTGTGAAGCGCTTCATATCGCAATTATGTTACCTGCACGAGCTACAACTCTTGCAGTTGTTTCATGACCTAACATGTTTTTCTGTTTTCAGGAATATTAAAACGCTCCAATCACAATTACAACACAATCGATGTAACTTCGAGACGATTCTTTTGAAGAACCTATATAGACATTGATCCATCAAAGCAAAATAGTGGTGAGCTAGTACACATGTTTTAATTACAGTTTAAGACTCCTAAATGATGGCCGCAAATAATGACTACGCAATCGGCATCGACTTGGGCACGAGTAACTCGTGCGTGGGGGTCGTCAGGAACGGGCGCGTGAAGATCATCGCCGACGAGCGAGGTAGTCGCCTCACGCCGTCGTTTGTGGCGTTCACTGACGAGGAACGACTTATTGGCGAGTCGGCCAAGCTTCAGCGCACCTTGAATCCTGCCAACACAATATACGAAGTGAAGAGACTCATCGGACGTAAGTTCAGCGATGAAGCGGTGCAGAAGAAATTACCCCACTGGCCATACCGCGTCGTCGACGATAGCGGCAACCCCAAAATCTGCGTTAAATATCTTGAAGAGGAAAAGTTTTTCACCCCCGAAGAAATTTCTTCGATGGTGCTGTCCAAAATGAAAGATATCGCTGAAATATTCCTTGGATGTAAAGTGAGGAAAGCTGTTATTACTGTACCAGCGTACTTTACCGACTCCCAACGACAAGCTACCTTTGATGCCGGTACCATTGCGGGTCTCCAGGTACTGAAAATCATCAACGAACCAACCGCTGCTGCCATTGCGTATGGAGAAGACACGATAGCCCTCTATGAGTCAAACATTCTGATCTATGACTTTGGCGGCGGGACTTTCGATGTAGCGGTTCTGAAAATGAAGAAGGGAAACTACGAGGTAATGTCTGTTGAGGGGAATAGCCAGCTTGGGGGAGGGGACATAGACTCTCGCGTTGCTAAATTTATGATCGACTATTTCAGAATGAAAACGGGGCTGGATGTATCAAATGATGATATAAAAGCTCGAGCAAAAATTACCAAAGCTGCCGAACAGACAAAGATCAATTTGTCAGTTTCTGCGTTGGACAAAGTTCAAATAGAGTGCTTGAGTCACGGGCAAGATTTCATCTGTCCTACAAGCCGCTGCAAGTTCGAATTACTTTGCGCAGATATTTTTGAAGAAACTATGCAGTATGTTGACAGAGCGATTACAAATGCCGGGCTGACAACCAACGAAATTCACGAAGTGGTCATAGTCGGCGGTTCGAGTTGGATTCCCAAGCTCAGAAAAATGCTGGAAGAAAAATTCCCAAACAAGGAAATCAAAAGGACGATCAACCCCGCGGAAGCTGTTGCGTATGGCGCAGCTGTCCAGGCAGCCATGCTCAACAACGACCGAAGTGTTGAAGGCATTCAGCTGACAGATGTGACCCCGCTGTCCCTTGGTGTGGATATTGTAGGTGATAGAATGAGCACCATCATCAAACGAAACTCAAAGATACCGGTGAAATGCACTAGAAATTACACGACTATCGAGGATCATCAAAAAGCCATATTTTTCAAAGTATATGAAGGTGAAAGCGCAGTTGCCTCGAGCAACAATTTATTGGGGAACTTCACAGTTAAAGGTATCGAATTGGCCCTGGCTGGAGTACCCTCAGTCGATGTAACTTTTTCCCTAGACAAGAACGGAATATTGAGTGCTACTGGCGTGGACCGGAAGACAGGAGGCCGAGGTCAAGTTACCATCTCCGTTAATAAAGGACGTCTCAAAAAGGAGGACATTGAGAGAATGATTGTAGAAATGAAGGACATGGAAAAGCTAAAGATTAAAAGCCGTGCTTAGATGAATACTCCTGCCTCTCGGGTGGCAGCAATTGCATAAAAGAAAAGTCTTCTTGAAAAACAGAAGCTCCAAAAATATAAAAACCAAGAGGTTACGATGTAATAATGAGGTTGTGCGAGGCTGTCGAGGCTTGATTGGACGATCAGGACTATGCAACCAAGGCGGAGTAAGATGAGGAACACGAGTTCATCAAGACTTTCTCTGAACTTCAGCTGGCTATACCTCCTAATTACTTTTTTGCAACTCTACTGCAGCTCCTATAAAGTTAGAAAAGTTCAGCAGATACATTTTTGTTCGGAACCCTTGTATTTTGCCTCTTCGTTAGGCACTGTGCAGGAATTCAATTGTATCCAGTTATAATAAAGTTGCCGCACAATAGATTGTTTCTCGCCATTATTTGTCTGATTACTACTTGGAGTTAGCATAGGTGTTATTTGTTTTCTATTTCTATGTAAGACTAGTTCAATGGCTGCTTGTTTCGCGATAGCCGTGCAATAGTCCGAGATTCTTAAAAATCTGCCTAATTTTCGTAACTCATAAATTGTAACTGGAATTTTATATCACCATGAGACATAACGACTAGTGGCAATGGACCATGTCTGCATTCCGGATAAGCAAGCTCGAGCTTAAGAATCAGCATGTTGATGGTATGTTGCATGACCAGCAGGATGTAGCCGTGCTATACGTTTGACTTTTGTTACCAGTTTCCCGCTGGTGATAAGTAGAGTGGTCTGCGTTCACTCCCGGATTTTTTTTATAGATCAGCGTTTTAAGTTGCAGTGGCCAATAATTTTTATCGCGAATATTATTTAATTTATTAGGATCCACCTTGGTACTTGACTCGATTTCTTTCAGAGTGGCGGATGAACGTGTTGCCCGATAGTTTGGAAAAACGTCTTTTTATGTTTATAGATGCTGTGAAGTGCTGTGACGGTACCAGGCATGAACTGACAACGCCGGTGCACGTGGCTTGGATATAATTCGCCATTCTTATTGTTGCTTGGATTAATACTGCATATTCCCCTATTGAGTTTGCTCGTTGCTTTCGTGATTTTAGGGTAAGCTTTCAATATATTTTCTCGTACATTTGTTGGTTATTGCTGGTGAAAGTGGGTACTGTATTTTACCTCTAATTCTACGTACCTGCTTCTCATCTGAATATGAAAGGAAGAAGTCCAGATTTTCTCATCGGACGAATGCAACAATAACTGACGCTGGATTTTTGAAGGGGAAGCTAACAGCCCAAACCCCGTCAAGCCTCAATTGTGGGGACAAGCGGATGTGCCGAGGCTGACTTCGTCAGTCGTTGCCACTCCAGGCTTCGATGGTCATAATTTGAATTGAAGAGGACAGGCCAAAGTCAGCAAACGCTACCATTTTACTAGTTGAGCAATACTTTCTTCAAATTGTCCGGCTAGTGAATTTGTGTAGCAATAAGAGTATTGTTTACGTGAGTAGGCCACCTGATGGGCTCGATTTCTAGCTACCCGAATGAACCTTGAAAGTTGTAACTGTTAATTAAAATTCATCAACTGTTAATTAAAATTCATTTCCACTAACGCGTACAAATTTGACGAATAACCAATATAAGTAGAAGCTCTCCCGCAACATGGTGATTGCCAGAAACCATCTCATATGGAAACTCCATCAAAATATTCGGGAGGCTTTCATTATTGGCCTAATGCTGCAATTCATGTTCCTGAGAGAATGAGTGGACACTGCACATAATATAAACACAGACGTCTAACTTTGCCCGAATTGTGGCAGAAGGAAAATTGCTGCATAATTCTGTGTGTTTGTGGCCGGTGTTCCGGGATCCAATGACTATTTGTTACATGATCGAGGCAGTTCGATTATTGCAATTAACTTGTCTTAATATATTTTTTGGAAAATTCAGAAAGAGGGCGCGACGTTCTAATTATTTTGGAAATAGCTTAGGAATATGAATGGTATCAAGTTTCCAATGCGACTCGCAAGTTATGCACGACGACGCCGTTTCAGCGTTCAATTAATAACGTTACGGTATAGTCGCCAGTATAGCAAGAAGCTCTAGCGAACGAATAGCATAAACGTTCATTTAATTGGCATTATTCATTAGGCATTGCAGTACAGTTTCATTCTGAACATATTGCTGTATATTTGGAGGATTCCTTGAATCAAACTCTAACTTTATTCTGGAAGAAGTTGGCTCTTTAACTACCGAGGATTGCGACATCGACTCTGTCATTTAGCAAACGCACAAGAAATGTTGAACACATTTAAGGTAGGACATTAAACTTGTTGGGCATCAAAGTAAAACTATTTGAAAATTTTTGTTTTTTTTTTCTCGATCCTGCGAATTAGACTATTGGCAGGGTTTTTACGTTCGGAGTTGAGGTTTCATATAATATTAAAGCAACGACGTTGCGGATAAACATCGTTAATTAACTAGTAAAAACATAATATGCATGAAATTCTTCTTATTTAATTGAGATGTCGAAATGACTTTAGTACAAACATAGTGTATTAAGGAACAACAACAAAAGTAAAACTTAAATTGAAAAATTAAATTTTTTTGTTCCGACGAATTCGATATAGTTAGTGAGTTGACAGCTTGAGATTCTTTCCTGACGATGAGAGCCTCGGCTATCGCCATTATTGCACCAGAATAGTCATGGGGTGTATCAGAATCAACCACAATACTTCAGTTTAAGTGATAATCATGCTAATCAATATTATATGAATCACAAGAATAAGAAAAGCAAAAAGAGAAGCGCACTTAGCTTGCCACTTCACAAGAGTTGTATAAAATACCAGCATGCAAATCAATGCAGTGAAAACTAAATCTCGGTTATGAAACTAGTAATCGAGAAGTTATTTTTGGCTTTCGCAAGATTGTCGTAAAGGGGCCGGTTACGAGATGGATAAATTGGTTTATGGATAAAGTTAAAGTGATAAGTTAAAAACTTATCACCTGGTAAAGTATTATCTTTTAGTGATAGCAGCCAAGTATTTTACTCTTCGAATTTCAGGCTTGAAATTGGAAGAAAAATTATAAATTTTCATTCATAATAGTCAATTCCATGTAAATTTTCAGTTAGTATTGCTAGAAATGAGAAGAAATGAACTCAATATACGAAGTAATTGCCGCTCCCGCTACCGACTACTGCTTTCCTCGTATACCTTGAGCTACATTTTGCATCCTGTGACTTTGCCTGGTGACTCCGACTTGAGATTTTATCAAAGGATTTTTTGAGGAGCGCGACTGAAGTCACCGCAAATTAAAAAATGTTGAATAAGCTACATAGCTTATAGCCACCTACTTATTCTTAACACCTTGCTCTAAATTTTGGGTGAAGGCTCCATCAATCAGATGCAGTTACGTTCTATTTTAATTATGATCATGGAACCTTTGCGCAAACTAAGTAATTTTTTAGAAAACCATATAATTACCCGGAGTATTCTTAAATTTAATTCGCGAGGCCTATTCCCCCTCACCATTCAACGCCTGCGATGTTGACATGACCAATCATTCAAGTTGTGAGCCTTAACAATCATACCTTAGATTTTGCTCATGATCTCCTTGAAATGCCTCTTAAGCCCCTGGATATGCGTCAAAAACCCCTGGATATGCCGCTAAAGCCTCCTGGATATGCCGCTAAAGCCTTCTGGATATACCGCAAAAGCCTCCTGGAATTGCCTCATAAGCCCCAATAGATATGCCTTAAAACCTCTTGGATATGCCTCATAAACCCCTATATGGATATACAATACCTTATAAGCCCTTCTGGATATGCCTCGATCATAAGCGTCCCTGAATTTGCCTGGACAATGATGAATGCCTAGCTATGATAAATTTTTGTATGTATTCTGATTAATTAACTGTGACAGCAATGTTTATTCGGCGACTATTGGAGCCATCCGTGGAAGATGGTTTGAGACTGAACAAAAATAAAATATTACATTTTCCCTTTAACAAGTTTTTAGAGTTGAAAGCGAGGCTAATCAAACGCATACCGTCAAAATCAACTGTTATCAAAAATAGATTGAATAATTATAATTGTCTACTATAATTCGAATCAGACTGACTTTTAGTAGAGAATTATTCGTTACATCTGAAAGGTACATATATTTGCGCATTATCAATAATAACACTTTATGATGAAGAAATTCAAAAAAACAAAGGACGGGCATTCTACAAGTTTTCACGGATTCATGTGAAATAATTTTCAATCACTCATTTACATGATCAATTCTTGCAAAGTTCCGTCCATGCACCAACCGTTTTAAAGAAAATTAAGCGCTACATTCAGAATGACATGCTGTTACAAAAATTTTCCAATCAATATTGTTCAATGCCTACACAGTCACGAACACCCACATTTCAATTTTTGAAAGGTAAACTAAACTTCTCATAAATCAGAATATAGAAAAAAATGTAGAATCATACGTCAGCGTTTAATAAGAGTGAAAAATTGACGTCAGTTTAGTGAACTTCACAACTGTCGCCACGTAACAAGCTGGAGCTCAGTAGCCATGATCCTCCAGGAGCTCAGAGAAGGTCTCGTTGAACTGCTGTTCCTTAGCGTCATACTCCGCTTTGGTTGCGTCGGTATGGGCCTCCAACCAAAATTCGGCCTCTTCGCAAATTCTTTTCATTTTTTCGTAGCCTTTTTGCGATATTTTCTTGAGGCTCATTTTCCTTTCAATAAGATTTTTCTTCTTAATGATCGTATCCTTCAAGTTGGTGGACGCGTTCGTCAAAGCACGATTTCGGCGCTCCATGTCCTCGATGGCCTCACGCTTGAGACGCCCTTTATCCAGAGAGACGGCCATGTGGCCTCCGCCTCCTGTCGTTTGGTCCACGGCGGTCACGTTCAAAATACAGTTTTCGTCAAGCGAAAAAGTTACGTCAACGCTAGGGACACCAGCGGGGGCTATTTCAATCCCTTCAGCTGCGAAAACTCCTAACAAATTATTTTGTGTGGCTATGTTGTTTTCACCTTCGTAGACTGAGAAACGAATGCCTTTTTGAAAATCACAGATAGTCGTGTAATTTCTTCTATACGACGCAGGTATTTTAGTGTTTCGTTTGATGATGGTGCTCATTACGTTTCCAGTCAACTGAACACCAAGCGACAGTGGGGTAACGTCTGTCAGCTGAATGTCTTCAACACTCCGGTCGTTGTTAAGCATGGCTGCCTGAATAGCAGCTCCGTAGGCAACAGCTTCCGCTGGATTAATCGTCCTTTTAATTTCCTTTCCTGGAAATTTTTCTTCGAGCATTTTCCTTAGCTTGGGGATCCAAGCGGAGCCACCGACTAGGACTACCTCGTTGATTTTGTCAGATGTCACACCAGAATTGGAGATCGCGGTGTCCACACACTGCATAGTTTTATCGAAAATATCAGCACACAGCAACTCGAACCTGTTGCGACTGAAAACCAAGTCCATATCTTTTCCTTGACACAAGCTCTCTATTTTAACATGGTCTTTCATTTGACACGACAAATTTATCTTGGTATTTTCAGCAGCTCTCGTGATCTTCGCTAGAGCCTTCGGATCCTGAGTCACATCCAGCCCGGTTTTCTTCATGAATTCCCCGATCAAGTAACGGACTATTCGAGAGTCCAAGTCCCTTCCACCAAGCTGGCTATTTCCTTCAATAGATTTCACATCGTAGTGTCCTTTCTTCATTGTCAAGAACGCCACATCGAAAGTCCCGCCGCCGAAGTCAAAGATCAGAATGTTGGTCTCCTCGGTTACGTTTGTGTCTTCTCCGTACGCAATGGCGGCAGCGGTTGGCTCGTTGATGATTTTCAGTACCTGGAGACCCGCAATGGTACCAGCATCGATGGTAGCTTGTCGTTGTGAGTCAGCGAAGTATGCAGGCACCGTAATAACCGCTCTTCTCACTTCACATCCAAGGAAAGTCTCGGCGGTCTCCTTAATTTTGGCCAGCACCATAGCAGAAATCTCTTCCGGGGTGAAAATCTTCTCCGTTGCACGATACCTAACGCAGATTTTGGGGTTGCCGCTATCGTCGACGACGCGGTAAGGCAAATGGGGGAGTTTTTTCTGCACTGCTTCATCGCTGAACTTGCGTCCGATGAGTCTCTTTACTTCGTATACTGTGTTAGCAGGATTCATGGTGCGCTGAAGCTTGGCCGACTCACCAATTAGTCGTTCATCTTCAGTGAACGCCACAAACGACGGCGTGAGGCGATCGCCATGTTCGTTTACTATGATCTCCACGCGCCCGTTCCTGACGACCCCCACGCACGAATTGCTCGTGCCCAAGTCGATGCCAATCGCGTAGTCATGTTTCGCCGCCATCTTGAATTTTGCTTAGACGGCCGGGTCAATCTGAAAGTATGGCTCATTTTGTTAAATTGAAAATGTTCTCAGGGAATATACGAAAAATGTGTATGTGAATATGACAACTAGCCTTGTTCGTAGTTTGGGTACACTCGTCATAGAGCGATAAGATGGGATATAGCAATGCAATTATTCCACCGAGTCCAACCTAGCTTAACCCAAACTCAACCAAAAATAGAGTTATTTTAGCAAAATATTTCGTTAGGAGTTTTGTGTCCCGCTTAGAATTAGACCAAAGACTATCTTTCACTTCCTTGATGATAAATGTTGATACTGCATATATTTTCAACGAGATACTATAAATGGACAATTAATTCAGTTAAATTCAGTATGAAATAGTGCTAGCGATTTAAAATACAAAATTCACTTATTTTTCGATTTGTCGCACATAATTTCTCTCTATGAAAAATCTTGTAATTAAATTAAGAAAGCCGAGTCGGGAACGAATATCGATGTAATAATAACAGTGTAAGCGTTTATTAGATCCATTAGACGTATCGCAGATTCATACCATCGCAGAACATTCACAGCTGCGATGTACATACACAAGGTCCCAGCAGGATTACTAGAATTTGAAACAAGAATGAACACCAGGGGCCACGGCTACAAGGTAGAAAACTGCTTTGTAGCACATCCATGCGACAACATTACACCCCGATTACATCGTTGGCGCTGCGATCATGAACGCGGTCAGGAACAGACTAGATAAAGCTTAGGAGGAAAATATATTTAGACTTGAAATGCCCAGCACCATATCGAACCTGATGTAAGTCTAGTAGCTATTTCAAACTATCGTCAGTTTGGAAAATATCCGGACGAAAAACACGTTTCTAGATAGGCTTCGGACAGGTCATGAAAAGTACAAGAATCGGAATCGGAGACAGGCCACATCCGGCCTATTCTTCGTCGCCGACATCGCTAATATGATATATGTATATTGACCGCTCGGCCACCCGACCAGAACTGTCGCAGGTAGCTGGGATCAAACCCATACAGTTGCAGGGAATCTGCGTGCTAGGTCTCATATGGTATGAATCGGCGACAGCAGCTACCTGTTGCTTCGAGCCGAAATCGAACCCACTAGCAGAGCAGCAATCCTCAAGAGTCTAAAGGGAAGCACCGTTCAAGTCCTGGTCATAACAGCTGGAAGAATAAACAAACCTAATAACCTAATCCTAACTCACTGGAACGAGCCTAACCGTAAGAACCTGACCCTAACCGTGCGTTCCAATGCACTTAAAATTTAATTCATAGCATAAGATTCAAGTCCAAAAAAACGAGAACTTCAGAGCTCGAGGCCTTCCTCAAAAGATCCAAGTACGTTCACGAAATGCCTAGCTAAAATAATGAATGTTATAATAAACAATTAAAATTGACACTATTGACTAATATGACACGAAACGATTTACACTAGAATTGAACAATCACAATTATAATCATAGAGCTATCGATTAACGAACCTTCACGGCAAGATCACGCGATGCAAACGTATTTGTAACGCCCGACTGCGGGAGGTCACGGCTAAGGTGATTGAAAACTGAAAATGATAAAACAAAATCCTAAACCTAATACGATACAACTTAAAATTAATATAAACAACAACAAATTAAATCTATTTCCTCAACAATGTGAAGCGGAATTCGTTACAAGACTTCAAAAGAAAAGTGCACTGCCAACAAATAACCCCGAATAAATAATAACAATGAAGCAAGTGTCGGACAAATTTACGGACGGACTCGCGGCCAAATCTCCAGATTCAATGACCAAGGAATATCTCACTAACTAATGAACGTAGCTAGATGAAACTTGGTACACGACCTAATAGTGTGTACCACTAGGTCGTCAGGATCTAACGGTGATGTTTAGCTCGTTAAAAAATTTTCCATTTCACCTTCATTCGGGAGGTATAGAGCAATTCGGGCCGAAATTTGTAGTGACCAAGAAATTTCTTCTAAACTACAAAAAAGATTTGAACGAAACTTTGAATATACATTCCTAACTTCCCAACGGTGACGTTTAGCTCGCGAAAAATGTTCCGATTTTGTCTTCGTTCGTGAGTTATACGGATAAACAGAGACACGACCGGCATTTCTGAGGGCCCTCTTCAAATTTGCATTGACAAAGAGCCGTATACGTATACTCGCAAACGAGAGTAAAATCGAAAAAAAATGTCACGAGCTAAACATCACCGTTGGGAGGTTAGGTTTGTATATTCAAAGTTTCGTTTAAATCTGTTCAGTAGTTTCGAATAAATTTCTTTGTCACTACAAATTTCGGCCCGAATTGCCGTATAATTCACGAATGAAACTGAAACGGACAAACTTTTCACGACCTAAACACCACCGTTCATGAATACGTGTACCAAATTTCATCGAGCTGCGTTCATTAGTTTGGGAGATATTTCTTGGACACTTAATTTGGAGATTGGCCGTGAGACCGGCCGCGAGACCGCCACGAGTCCGGCCTAAAATTGTCCGAGACCTTGTCGTAAGTTACCAAGCTGCTCATTTTTTTGTGATTATGTGCTTTTTTCCATTGTACCATTAGGATTTTTGCCATTAGGATTTGGGATTGTCAAATCGAAGTGTCATTTTTAACTTGGGTTATTTTCGAAAAATTACAAATTATTAGGGGATACATTTTTGAAATTTCCATAAAACATGGCAATGTTTGAAACGACGCAAATTTATAACTGGAATTCGAATGTATAGTAACAGTTCCAATCATATTTACAACCACTGTAGGCAGAATTTCATAGACTCGTGAAAAACAGTTTGATAGACGGTACATACAACTAACAAGCGACGTATCGTGGGATAACGAGTCGTTAGCATATTACACATGGGGCCATTCTTTCAAAATTTGCCAAGTGAACGTAAGTACTTACGCTCTATTTTCTTGTCTATGATTGGTGGATATTGCTTGAAAGGCTGTCATGATTTGCTGATGAACTTACGATCTCTTAAATTTTTTGAGAGTATATAGGCCCTGGATGTTACGCGCTCATCCAACAGGCAGCAGGCATACACGCGGGTCTCGCCTTGATAACAAGTTTTATCATCGAGATTTAGTTTTCACCGCCTGGATTTATGTGTTGGTACTTAATATAACTTCTGTTAAGTGACATGTTTAAGCGTGCTTCTCTTATTGCTATTCATATTCATGTGATTCATATAATTGACTATAACTTAAATTGAAGTATTGTGGATGATTTTGATGCACCGCATGACGATTTTGGTGCAATATACTCTCGATAGCTGAGGCTCTCATCGTCAAGAGTGAGTCTCTAGCTGTCAACTTACAAAATATCGGATTCGTCAGGACGTAGAAAATATTTTCTTACAAAATTCAAGTTGTACTGTTTTAGTTGTTTCATAATACCCTACGTTTGGACTAAAGTCATTTCGAAATCTAAATTAAAAAAGAAGAGGTTCATGCTAAACCGTTCTTTTTACTAGATAATTAATGATGTTTATCAGCAATGTCGTGCCTTTAAAATTATATGAAACCTCATCTCCGAACGTCCAAACCCTGCCAATAGTCCAATTCGCAGGATCCAAAAAGACAAGCGAAAATTTCACTCTCTGGTCCTCAACGAAGTTTAATGTCCTATCTTTTATGTTTTTGTTAACATTTCTTGTTTTTGCGGCCTGGCAGCGGGAATACATTGGGGCTTATATCACCAGGAAATATAATTTCTGGGTCAAGCTATTATTTAGAGGTCGCTTCACTGAGAAATAAATATTTATTTAATCATTAGGATACTTTGATATCCGCAACTTGCAAGTTTGTGAAAGTTGTATCTCATGATTCCCTTTAGTTCATGACTACTCAAATTGTCTATGCATGGAGTAATCTATGGAATGCCTATGAAAATTAATTATTTTACACAATTAACAACGGTGACAACTTTCTAATATACGTTTACGGCATTCAACAGTATTTTTGAAAATTCCTTAACTGATAATTTTTATTATTTCTATCTTTTCTATTAGTTAGTATTCAATATTTTTAATAATAAAATATGGAGCTTTAATTAATAATTTAAATGCTAAGCCATTGCGACTTACTTCCATGTCGAACGTGGATTTAAATCAATTAATGATTAAATTTATTATATACAGTCAGTAAACATTTATTTCCAAATATAATTTATTTGGAAGTTTTTCCAAAATATATTAAGTTTTTTCCAAAATATAATTTATGCACTTGAATGGTTGTTCTCCACTCCACATAATTATTAAATGCTACTACTCCATCAAATATTGAATCATTTACCGCATCTTGGGTCCTGCTTTTGTATGCCATCGTCTAAGAAGCTCGCTCCCTGATTTGAAAATTTCGTAACAACGTGCCCTTCTTAAGTCAGCACGAAACTTTTCAGTGGAGGAGGAAATCATCCTTATTTTTCACTTCACAGTCAACTTTTTAAATCAGATCATCGATAATGATTGAAGGTCTATCAATTCGTTCATCATGAATTCTTGCGCGGCCATCTTTCAAGGCCGTAACCCAATCCCGCACCGTTCCATCACTCATAATGTTTTTACCATTAATAATAATAAATAATAATAATAGCGGTTTCAGCGTTAGTAGGCCGTAGGCCTGTCGCCGATTCTTAACATCGCAGAACATCCACAGCTTCTCGCAGCTCACTGCTTCAATTTTGCGAAGCTGTGAGTGAGCTGCGTGAGTGATCTCCAACGCGCAGCTCACTGCTACAATTCTGCTGTGCTTAACCGCCCGGCCTCCTTGCCGATTCTGACCAGAAACTGGCGCACAGAGCTGGGATCGAACCCGCGCCTCTCTGCTCCAATCCTGGTACTCTGAACTTTAACCACTGGGCCACCATTCACTTATATCACTGAATTGGCTATGAATGCCAACTGATTTGAAACGCACACACTTTGGCATTCTGCAGGTGGTGACGAAAATAATGTCGTGGCGAGGACAGGGAAACAACGATCGGGCATGATAATAAATCTTTAAACGATTTATTGAAAAATCAAATAAACCAAATCGCTGGAGCCGTCCACGGAAGGGGCAAATCGAGCTGCGCCACCCCTTCTTCCACACGACCTATCTCGTCAGGACACTCATCCTAGATAGAACAATTAAGAGTTGGTCAATACCGAGTAAAAAATAAGAAATAAATTGGTAATCAATTATCCCTACAGTTATAGGTCTAATCAATTATGAATTAGAACTAATCACCTTTAACCAGTTACCTATCAATTAAATCAGTTATCAT